GCAGAGAAAACAGAGATATGGACTAATATGCTGAATGTTTGCAACATAAAATAAAAAAAAAAAGAGAGATGTATGCCAATATGAAATGTTAAGTGCCAGAAAATTAGTATTGAACTTTTTCCAGTTAAATTTTGAAAACTGAAGGTCCCTGCTTTCTGAGAAAAACCATTTCATACAATTGCTTGTGGGTGCAAACTGTTCAAGATGCCATAAATAATTCATTCAGCTCCAGTCAAGTAATAACATGTCACCAGCTGCAGAAGGGAAAAAGAGAAGTCTGGAGCACTGTTCACTAACAAGTGCCAACTGAGAGTGCTCTGGGAGTAAGGTATTCAGCATTCTCAATGACCAGGAATGAAGGAAGGCCAGAAATCACTGTGAAATGATCCCAAAAGCCCAAACCAAAAGCAGGATATCTCTATTTATTTCAAAGAATCAGGCAGAACACTTAGTATGAACTAGGGTAAAAGAGAAAGAGAGCAGTCTTTGCTCTCCAGTGGGGACACAGAGGTTACTACATAAACAGGGCAGAGATAAATTACAAGCTGTTTAACACAGAGTTAGTCTGGAATTTTTTAGCTTCAGCTCAAATTGGAATTGCAGTGATTCACATAACTCTGCTGCATCGATACAGAGGTTTTGTATTAATTTTTAAAGCAATTAATCTGCTCTCTTTTATTACCTTTTTTTTTTTTAAAAAAAAAAAGCTTATTTACTATCCTAGGTATGCAAAGAGTTCTGCTTTCGTCTGGTTTGCTGCAGGGACATGCATATATACAAGGAACCTTACTGCAGTAAGTTTACTAGCTTAGAGGCAAGGCAGGCTCACAAGTAACTACAGCATTTTCAAAGATCCACCTCAACAGAAACATTTTTCACTTCAGTGAAGATGCCAAAAATACAAGTAATGCTGAGTTAAAGGTTTTGTAAAGCCAATAATGTCTTCTCCTTACAAGTCAACAATTACATGCAAGTGGGTTACAGCCTCTATTTTACTGGTTTTAAAAAGTAAAGTTTATATATATATATATATATATATATAATGAAAAGAAGGAAGATTAAAGAATTAATATCACCTACGGTTATAAAGAAAAATGTCATTAAAATACATATCCCAAGCAAACCATATGTCTTCTGTGAAGAATTAAAAAACCAAATCACAGCCACCAGGTACCACACACCTGCCACAGGAAACTTAAGAAGCACTAAATTACAAGACCTTTTCCTCCTCTTCAGATATGTCTTGTCTAAAAAGTACAACGTCTAAACTTATTCACGCAACAAATGTTTCAAGGTAAGTCTTCAGAAGAGCTCCTGGATCATCTAGAACATCCTTCAAACCGATTCAGGAAAGTCTGCTAGCCTAATTTACCAGAGTGGTTTTATCTAGTGAACTCTTGAACACCTTGAGGAATGATGTCTCACTGAACCCTCTTGCCAAGCACTCCCATTGTCTGACTGACCTCCCTGCTAGAAAGCATTCCCTGTTTAGCTTTGGGTCATTACTTCCTGTTAGACAACCATGATCACCTTAAATAATTCCTCCTTCTCCTCCCATGTTCCTTCTCAGGTATTCATCAGTTGTATTCCCCTAGGTAGGCTGTATATAGCTTGTTCCTGAGACCTCTCTTCACAGGTCGTACTCTCCAACTCTTTTATCATTTTTGTCACCTCTTTGAACTATTTTTCCATTTATTCATTTCACTGTACAGCCCTTAATGATAAAAACAATCCATACAAATTTACCTCTACTTGCAACCAAAAAAACCTATCTATTGGTAAGTGAAAGAGAGAGGTGAAACCTGGCTGCCACAAAGAGGGGGCCTTTTAAATCTCAGAGTCCTGTGTCTGGGCCAAAGAAACTAACAGAGCAGCTAAAAGTGACAAATCTCCCCATTTCTGAATTGTTAGTTTTTCTTCTTTTCTTTCTATATATTGCCTTGCAAGAGGATGGCATGGCCTTCAAACTACAAAATTGTGTTTGCTGGTACATGTACATCTGTACCAACTGAGACAAAAATATCCAGGATTTTTGCAAGTGGAGAACGGAACATTTTTCTCAACTGATTAAGGAGGGACACTCTTTACAATAGGTTTGCTTCAGCCCCAAAGTGATTTTTTAATGCAAAATCTAGGTTAGTTAACATTTTATAAATGCATTTACCTTTTCTTTTCTGAATAACAGCTGATTCCGTGTTTATACCTATATCATTGAAAAGATATTTTTCCTTTCTTCCTCTCTCTGTTCTTACAGTCAAAGCAGTTTTTATAGTAAAATAATAAATCTTGAAAACTTATGAAATGACTCCTGCTGCAGTAACTTTGACACATGACAGAATCAGGCACTGAAATATTAAGAGAGTTAAATGAAAATTAAAGAGATAATCCTAAAATTAAGTTCTTCTAGAATTCAAAGCTTCTTCATGTGTGACATGGCAGAATCCTCTAACTTTGTGCATCCAAACTCAGATGAGATCTCTCTGGCCCACCCAAGAAATGATAAGTGAGGCTGAAAACTGGATCCATATTTTTTAGCACGAAAAATGTATCACTTGCAATATCAAACCAGGCAAAATAAATCTTGTACCAGCTTCCAATGGCTGATGTCTGTGACTTGTGCTAAGAAAAATTTGTTAAAACTGTTCATATCAGGGTTCATAGTCCAAATAGTGTTCTTATTTCTGTTCTGCATTCCACTGGAGGGTCTACATGCAACACCTGTTTTTTATGAAGAAATGCTATTAACCAGTACACCTTAAAAAATGTAGTTAAAGCTTTTCAGACATTTTCCCCCTACTACAAAATACTAACTCAGCAAAACTGAAAAACTTAATAAGCAACCTATTTTTCACATGAAATTTTCCATTTCCACAAGTTCGTGGAAACAAAGCATTAAATCCAATTTCTTCTCATTGTTTTTCAGCTTTTATTTCCAACTTGAGTTAAAGAAAAAAAAAAGAAAATAAATATGTGCAAAATATAAAAATAATATCTTTGCATTTTTTTCTAATGCTACTACTTAGGGTTTTTTTGCAGAGCTAATTTTCCCCCCAAAACTGAAGAGAGAAATTGTTCCAGAATCTCAAACAATTTTCAAGATGCAGAGCCAGACTGGTAACAATACTACTAGTATAGAGCTGTATGTTATCTATAGCATGAAATAGTTACTGCAGAAATAAGTAAACCCTTTAAAGGCACTTATTGCCACACACAGCGAGTGATGCATTTCTGTAAATTACATACAAATGCATATTTCATTTAAGTTAAAAGCTGTTATTCTAGACTCCCTGAAAATGTGCTGTAGATAATTAGTTCCACTTATTGACTGAGATCTTGAAGAATTGCAGTTATTTGCTAACTCCACAAAATGTAAGCCCAGCCTCTGCCAGAGAAAGATTCTCCCCTACACCGTGCACCTCACATCTCAAGCCTTTTGAGAGTTCCTTTCTAAGATTTAAATTTTCTTTTATAAAGCTTTTCTGAATCAATCAAGACTCAATATAGGAAGATTGCCAAATAAATTACTTTTCATTTCTGCCCACTGTTAAACTCCTGCAGGGAGCTGGAAATATATCAGAGTCATTAGTCTTAATGCCTATAATACACAGTGCTTTAAGGTGAAGTGAGTAGTAAAGCAGTTTAATACACGAGCCTTTACACTCCAGACACCTCAGGGTCCTGACAGTGCACTCATCTAAGTCTTAACAAATAAATCTGGAGCCTTGAGCACTGAAGGGGGACACACTTTCCACCCAGTTTGAGTCTGAATAAAACACACATGTTTATTTCTTTTTCATACCTGGTTTGAATACTTTGTTAGGACTCACTGGAAAGTTCAGCAATGTGTATTTCTGCTGGAGGTCTGCTACGAAGCAAATAAAACAACTGACTGAGCTGCGTAGAGCTTGCTACACTTTGAGGGCATCTGCTCCCTTATTCTTCTACTGGAAATCCCTGTGTATGCACAAACACTAGTAGAGTTTATCCCTGTGCTTAGTCTTTTCCAAGCTAACTATTTGCCTCACTTATTTCTGATAAAATTTACCTTATTAATTTAAAAACCACTGATGAACATAAAATGTGGATAATTTACTAATGCCATTATGGTAAAAAAACCTTAATAAGCTAATTTGAGTTGATTTTTTTTTTTTTTAATTTAGCAGGTTTTGATGCAGCTAAACTGATAATTGGAAACAGGTCTCACCCACATTTTAATTTCTTGGTTCAGTCTTATGCCTGGTTAGCTAAAAAAAAAAAATTAAAACCCCTACTTCATTGCCAAATTCTTAGCTAATGAATACACAAACTTATATTGAGGCTTCAACTCTCATTCTCAATTCTGACATATAAAACACTGTAAAATAATTCATTATTTAATATTAAGAAATCTGGATAAAACTAATTAATGCCAAAAATTAGCCCACAGCACACTAATTAAAGTTTGCCCAACAGCTACCTCCCTGTCCTAATTAGCCTCACTGATTTCAAGAAACCACTAAGAAAAAAAAGACAAACATCTAATTCCCACCTCATATTTGATAAAATCTCCTTGATTCAACTTTCAAACATCCATAATGCTCCCTTTTAACATGAATTTGGACATTTCCACAACAAAGGCATTTCTCTAGGCACATTATGTTTCATTTCTAATGGACTATTGTAGATTTTCTGGTCACCTGTCAACAGCGGTCGAAATCCAGGACAAAATTATTGATACAGAAGACAACCAGATAAAAAAATAATTACTCCAGAGAACTGTATATTATACTCAAAGTGCCCATCTGGCCCATGCTGCCCCATTTGCATCAACCACAAAGTATGCATTCCATGGAGCACGTGATCTTTCAATTCTCTGGCACCAGAGCCTTGCAATCCCATCCGACATTTAACAAACAGCACTGTCAAAATGGCAAAACACAGCAAGGTATCACATAATAAGTCACAATAAGCCATAATACATGTTTCTAAAATATTGATGATAAAAACAACTGTGCACTGACCTCATTAATAAAAGTCTGGGCTCCCCGTGGGCTCAGCAGTAAGATAGCTCTCCGCAATGTGTCCCGATAGCGGTTCAGCTCTTCTGTTTTCATGGTCGTAAAAAGGTTGGAAAATACTCTGCTGATGTTCCTGTCCACTTTTTGTAACGATACATCAAGTCCCAGTCTTGAGGCCTGATCGAGAAATCCCTGCAGCCCACGTATATCTGTAACACAGAGGGAGGAAAAAAAAAAAAAGAGAAAAGAAAAAAAGCCACTGCATCAACCTTCATCAGTCAGACAAGCATCACTAATTAGGTGGTAAGCATTATTAATCAGGTGGAGAAAACTTTTTTACTTTTTTCCTGCAATGCTATTAGAAGAGTAGTATTCCACACCACCATCTTCCATGCCTCCCTCTCATAGCCAATGCCAATGGGGAAACTCCATCAGTTACCTTTCCCCAAGTCATCTGTGAATGACTCTCAGTAAGATCCAATTTGTGAATTTGGGTGGCTGTGCCAACCTCCCCAGAAGCTCAAGGCCACAAGGCTTAACACTGCCCAAACAAAAAGACAGTCCCACCCCAACAACATAACGGTTCAAATGCAGAAAACCAGGAGCGGATAAATACACAGAGGATAGATCACTCACTCCTAAACTTCTCTTATTCTACCACAACCTCATACACCTGCTTTTTTCAAGAAAAAAATACCATATCCAGAACATACACAGCCCTCCTTTTGACATCCCTGTTTTTCTCCTGTCCTATAAATAACCTACCTAAACAGAGGTTTGCCATTTACCTGCAAGTCCATGAAATAGTGCACAAAGCTCCAGTATATTAGAAGAGAAATCATGCAAACAAGCCCATTCAGAACATGTTTCTTTGAACTCTATGCCTCAACTTCAGAATGACTGAAAAAAACATATTTCCTTAATCACATTCTAGGGCATCCACGTGGAGGAACACATTTCATATTATGTTCACGCTGAAAGCTGCTTGTTTGAACTGTATTCTTTTTTCCTGACTCTCAGCATTTTTCTGTAATAAATGTCTGAGTTTTTATTTTGTTGTGAAATTTAGAACAAGGTCAAAGTTTATTTTGCACCGGGTTGCTCTCAAAATTAACAGTGACTTGTTCACAGCTGTGCCATGTTATTACGAGACCTTAATTTTATGGGAAACATGTAAAACTTGAAAAAGAAAGTATTGAAGCATCTTTTCTCACATTCATTTCTCACACTTTCATCATTAAACTTCATCTCCTGGGTGAAGCCGAATGGCTTAAGTTAGAGCACATTTATTGATCCAATAATAAAACTCGCTCTTCAGAAACTTTACTATAACTCTAATAATCTCTGTAAACCACATCATAACACCTGGTGGTTTGCTTTTTTTTTTTTCATTAGTCATGGAAATAACCATCTTCTGACACTGTTCAGAGAGCTGAACACCATTCCAACTGAATCAATAGCACTGCTTGCTGCCTCCCCCTGAGTGGGCTCCTAAACCATCACCCATCTTGGTGTTTCACAGCCATAGAATACATATCATCAGCTTTTATATCTCCTTGGAAAATGTCATATGAAACCTGATATAAGTAATACCTTGTGAGGATACATCAGGTAAAGAATTTAGCTCACGAACAAGTGCAATATGTTAGTGTCAACTAGAAAATATCAGATCCAAAAGAAAAGCATTGGAATTTGCCCTGAGTAGCTTCACACTTCTGTCCAAACATGGGAATGCTTGTTAAGGTGATTACTTCAGCTTCAGAAATCAGCTGAATTGCAAAGACACATCAGAAATAATAGAAACTAAGCTGGGATTGGGCCAACCACAGCGGACTCCCTATTGCCTTTTTAACTCTGGTTTAGCTGACATGATCGTCCCTCCAGCCAACTCCCCCATCAGGAAAGGTGAACTCATGAGGGTTTTGCTGGTCTTTTGCTGCTCAATTTAGGCAGCAAAGTCTACAGCAGCTTTATCACACTGTCAAATACATGCCAGACTAGCTTATTGTCCAAAATCCCAAGTAAGTGAGGATATTAAGGGGTTTATTGCTATGCAGGAATTTCTGGAAAGCATCAGAAGATTTTAGTACTTGTATAGCTGTTAAATATTGCAGGTGCGCTGCAAAAATGACAGTGACAAACAACTATCATTGACAGGTTAAAGTATTTCACTAAACTTGTCAAAGTAAGTTTGGATTTTGTTAATTTAAATTCAGTAAGCTATCATTCATTCCTATGCACACTTTATGGATATGTGGTAGGCAAAACACATAGATTTTTCTTTTAATGATGTTTAGTCCTTCAAAATTACTGCAGTGTTTGATAAGCAAGTATGAAAGAAAGTAAGTAAGAAAACTCTTATTATTTGGTAGCAACTTGTCTTTTTGTGTCACCCTCTAAAGTTATCACTGCACAAACAAAAGCTGTTTACAAAAGATTAACTGTGCTGATACTGCTCTAGGTTGGTTTTCTTTTTGCCTTATGTTTTCAGCTGACCTACTGAACTACTGGTTAGAAATATTCTTGTAGACTAGTGCAAAATACTTGATGCACACGGTAAGACTGTTTGGACTGGGAAGGGTATTTTATATTCCCTTACAAATCTTTCCCCCAAGGAAAACAAGCTATTTCCCAGTTTGAAAAATGAAAAAAACATTTACTTTTTCCGGTTTGAGAAAGCAAAACCTAAGATGGAAGAGGCTGTCCAAGCTCAACTGCACAAGCACAATCTGTGAGTTTTTCGCAGATATAAACGAATGTGAATTTATTCAGTGCTGGCAATTAAAAAGAACTGTGTGATGGTATCGTCCTGAATGCTGACATGCCTGCTCCTACATGACACTGAGGCACTGAGGAGAAGGAGAAGGTTTGGTGGGAATTCAGAGGTGGAAGTGGGAACTGAAGTGTTTTAAGAGGTGACTAACAATTTTAGGTGCCTGCATAATGGGAACTTTTCTTCATAAGTAATTATCTGCAACCATTACCAAGAGGGCAATCATTTCTTAAAATGTATCAGTAAACAAATAGAGAAACACATGCCCATATGCAGGAGCATCTGTTTAAAAGACATAATAAATTAGGCTCATTTTTATTTTATCTGACATATCACACAAGGAAGAGAGTGCCCTCATTTTTTTTCTCCATTTAGTAGATCACAAGTCCATGAAACATTAAAGAAAAACTGAGCTTTGTTCCACAGTGACTGAAACAGAAATATTCACAGATAACAGTTATGAATTTCTTTTCATTTCTCATAATCTAGGACAGCTCACCCTTCATTTCCTTCAACACTAAAACGAGTTTTATAAAATTCACATAGAATTTCATAAAAATAAAGGGTTCTATAAATGCTTCTGCCTGTTAAAATACAATTGTTTCCTGTCTCTTGTAGTCTTAACAGAGACTTTTTATTAAGTTCAGATTCTAACATTAGAGTTATCCTGGACCATTACTAATGAAATAGTTCCTTGTCCCCATTTATTTCATGTTTTCTAGGAAAAGTATACCACTTCAAACTTTCACTTCTGCCTAGAACATCTGAAAAAGGACAGACCAGTTTGCAACCTTCAGCTATCTGCCTTCAGTTTCACAATTACTTCCTTTTGCTCAGGTTGTAGCCTACACTCAACATTAAAATCACATAGTCATATTTTAATTATCTAATTGCCCACCTGAGTTATGCATACTCAACATGCAGAGCTTCAGAGGCAATATTTGAAAATTTCCCTTTAGAGAACGTGAGTTTCTTACAGATGATAAAACACATACACTTCAGAAGAGAAACTGCACTACAGAAAAGGCACTAGGGTGAGCACCTCTCATAGAAGTGATATGTAAAACCATATGATAATTGGATATGTTTACAATATTCTAGTGTCATCCACAATCATGTGGAATCAGCAGGCTGGAATTAGAGCTAACTCAATAGATCTTCATAAGAAAAGCAAATTTCCTATGAACTTTGGGCCTCTTCTGTTAAATCTGACTGGAGAGAGAATTTCTGTGGCCCAGAGCCTTCTTCCCAATGCTGACAGATATACCACACGTCCAGGTCTGACAATTTTAGGGATAACTATTACAAGGAGGGAAGGAAAGTCTTGATGCACTGCTAAGATATGAATTCTGTCAGTGTGACTACAAAACTAATGCTTGCCATAAATAAAGGGTTTTATTGTACTATAAGGAATAATGGGATGTGTAATTTCCTGCCATAGGTTAGGTTGGTTACTGCACTGGCTGATTGGATCACAAACATAAAAGAATAATACTAAACATGGCATTAGCTACCTGTAAAGCTCATTATCAAGTACTAAAGTAATGAATTTTTATTACATTATTTATAATCTTGCTTATGCAAAACACTTCTGGAGTCTACCATAGCATTCACCTTTCATAAATTCACAGGATCTGATTCTTGGCCTTGACAAAAGCAGGTTTAAGCTATTATTTTTCTGGGAACAGCTGTGTGGTTGGGCACAGCTGGCCTTTTAGGACGGCTCATTGCAGAAAGGAATTTCCAGGAGGTAAAGAGCACTATATTGTCTTTTCAACACCAGTTCCTAACCCCACTTGACAGAAATAGAGGCAGCACATGGCCAGGAAACATTTTACTTTGGGCAGAAAACAGCTGGAAGCAAACTGAAGTATCAAGTTGGAGCTGAAAGCAAGGCTGAAGAAGCACCAGGATATAACTTCACGCTCTGTCATTTTTATCCAAGTAAATTCTGGGAGGACTAAGTATTGCCACCAAGTTCTGTTTTCGAATATCCTACGCCAATCCTTTCACCTGTACATTTGTAAGAGGGAAAAGTAAATAAGTGTGAAAAACAATGAGATCAGGCGATGGTGAGGGTTTGAGTTCTCATTTGCAGATTGTAGGCTCTTCACACTTTTTTTTCTTCCCGTATCAGTTCTATTTGAGCATTATTTTGACGATATTTAAAGTATTGAGAAGAGTGTAAAGGAAACTTGGGTAGTTTCACTGTTCTAGCATTTATGCACTTATAAAAATGCATTTACCTTTTCCAAAATTTTAGGAAGGCTATTCAAGGCATTGTTCCTTATACTTAAAAGCTCCAAGAGAAGAAAAAAATTACTATTTCTTATCTTTCATACAAAAATCCTCTCCTTTACTGTAGTTTCGTCTCTCTTGACTTCAAATTGAACAGAATACTTCCCACTTATTATTTCATTTCTTGAGACAGAATAA